AATCGGCAGAGCTTTGCAGCGAGAGGCTGTGAAGCTGTGCTCCACCATCGTCTTACGGCTTCAGGGGACACAGCGAGGCTGCAGACTAAAGCGATCCGCTCCGTATGATCTGCTCAGGTTCTGGAAAGCCTTTAATAAATATCTGTCGCCAAGGACTCATCAAGAAGCTAATCTGGCATGGGATAAGAGGGAAGATCCTCTCATGAGTCAGCAACTGCATATATGATAGAGAGACAAGGTAAGGATAAATCATGTTTTTCACAGGGTAGAGAAGTCACCAGTGACATCTTAGAGGGATCTGTGGTAGGGCCTGTGCTAATCCACATACCCATCAGTCAGGTGGTAAATGGTGAAGTGGCTTGGACTGCTGGTGGTGTCAGCTTATTTAAAGTAGTAAAATGCAAACTGCCTGCAAGGAGCTGCAAAAAAAAAACCATCTCATGAGCTTGGGTGGTGAAAAGGCAGGTGAAATTCAGCATGGATAACAGCAGGGAAAAACATATGGCTGAGCTAGGAGGAAGACGCTCTCACTACTCAGTCTCAGCAATGGCCCTGAACAACCCAGCACCATTCAGGACAGGTATCTTGGAACGAGACAGTTCTATTCAAGTGTCAGTTAAAAGCTTGTTAATGACTATAAAGCAATTGAATATTGAAAATTATTAGGAAGGGAAGAGAGATCTCATCAGTTAAATACAGAGTTCACTCCCTACCATGTGCACTGTGTGCAGTTCTGCAGTTCTGGTCCCTCCAGCTCAAAAAGGGTATGTTAGAGTGAGAAAAGTTATAAAGGAAGACCAAAGATATGGGATGAATTTGTGTGGATAGTACATAATCTGTATGTTACATAAATCAAGATTCTTCAAAGTGGGAAAAAAGATTCCAAGAGGCCATATGGTACAGCTTTATAAATTAAAGAAGGGTCATAGAGAATAACTACTCACTGCTTCTTGTAAGATGCAAGAAAGGGGTGTCAAATGACGTTTCCAGGTTCAAGCCAAACTTGAAGGCAAGGAGCTCTGCTGCTGGGCAAAGAAGTGTCTCCCCTTATGGAACTTGTTGTCACAAGATGTACAGGGACTACAAAAGTGCCGTTCTTGGTTTCAGAAGCAATCCAAGAAACGCATGGAAGATAAATCACCTGAGGGCCATGAAAAACTAAGCTACCCCTCAGCTGAGAAAGCCCCTCTCTACTGCTGGCTGTGGCCAGAGCTAGGACACCAGACTGATGGGCCTTGCAGCTGAACCTATTTTGACATTTTTATCAACCAGACAACTTTTAGAAGTAAATTAGAGGAAACCTCACCACCCTGCAAAGCAGAAGTGCACAATCAGAGCTCTGGTTTCTCATGGGGCTGTGAACATCCCATTAGCATTAGTGGTGTTTCTTGCTCTCGGATAAGATACACTGTTTGTTACTTTTAAAGATTAAAATCAAGATTAAGAAAAAATAGCCCATTCTCATGTTCTTTTTCCATGTATTTTTATGGCCCTACACCAACACTGCTGCCAAAAGCAGCAGCTCGGCTCTCCTGTACTGCTGGAAAAGACAAATGATGAGGGTGGAGAGCAAAATTAGCTGCCAGAGCTGAGAAGAGGGCAAGGCTGCTGAAAGCAGGGCTGGCTTAGGCTGATCCCAGGTGCTAATTGACCTACAATTTAATTTAGTGATGTTTCTCTTGACAGCCGTCCCTTTCGAAGGGTAACTGTCCTCATACCCCCTGAGAACAGCAGGAGTTGTCAGCCATGTCTGAATGTGGCCTTTCTTGTCCCTGTCAGGCTACCCCAAATGAAATAAAATTTCTTGTTTATGAAAGGAAACACTACAGAAGTGACCTTTGCTCCATTACTAGAACTTTATTTATCAGTTCATTTTAGTTGTGTGAATTCTTGAAGGATTTTTATCTGCTTTGTAACTGTAAGGACAGAAAAACTAGACAAAAGTGCATATTAACGCTCTTGAATGAACCATTTAAGATCTGATGAGCAGTTTAATCACTAAGAGTCAGACCTTGTAGATCATACGGAAAATGGTAAATTTTGTCAGCAAGATGACAGGAGCAAGGGCAATACTAGATTGGATTTGGTACAAGAGGAGAGAACTCTTTTTTACTGAATCTGAACCTAGTGCCTCCGATACCCTTTAGATGCAGATGAAGAAATGCTAAATTGATGTTACTTGTATTATACTGTAGCAATCTGATCCCTATTATGTGAAGAATATTTACATATCTTGCCTTCTCCTCAACATCAGGCTAGGAGAAACGCCCTGGGCAGAAACAGTGTCAGACAGAGGAGAAGGACAGCTGGACTAATACTCAGGTCAACCCATCATGCCTTTCCAAAGTGGCAGCTGGAAGCCAGGTGAGATACCACCAAGCATCTACAATGGCACGAGCTGTTGTCTTAGAACTTCATCTTGGAACTAGATGATCTTTGAGGTCTCTTCCAACCCTAACCATTCTATGATTCTATGATTAGGTTCCTTCTATCCAGTAATAGAAAAAAAGTCCAAAGTGCTACTAGGAGATGCAACACTAGCCTGTCGTAAATGGAAAGCGAGCCTTTGCGATTCAAAGCTTGGCCCTCGATGAGGAGCCTTGCAGGGCAGCAATGCACTCTCCCACCAGGCAAGCAGCCTCTTTGGCTGTGCCCATGTGCACTGAAAAGCCACCTGCCCCCTGCCCATAGTTGTGGACCACTGGGAGCTTAACTCCTCCTTGGCTCAAGACCTCTCTCTGCAGTCTCACACCCTGCCTGGATGGCCTCAGGCCCACCTTCACCTTGGTATCCTGAGCTCCTCGCAGTGAGGGCTCAAGGGAGCAGCATCTCTCAAAGATGTCTTTCGTAATGCCAGGATCTGGGGAGAGATTCCAGCTGCCCTTTTCCCTGGTTCCCCCTAGGGTTACCGTGTGTATCCCTGGATAGATGTAAGTTAAGCCATCCCCATCCCGGATGAAGTTTTTCACCCAAGGAGCATGAACCTTGAGTACTTGTCCCCTGACGGGGAAGAGCTCCGTGTCCCCCACCAGCTGGTGGGCTCCAATGCCCGCACAGTTGACGACAACATCATATTCGCTGTGCAGCTCCCACAAGTCTGCAACTTTTCTGGTGCGCATCTGGACTCCAATTGCTTTCAACCTGCAAAGAGACTCCAGAAGTGAGGCAGAAAAGAAACCTCCAAACCTTCTCGTCATTATTATGAGCATTAAGTAAATGAGATAGGTTGCCTTTAACATACTGATCAAAACCAAACAACAGATGGGACAAAGAGCACAGAAAAAGGGTTTCTGTTTGTCATTTGTCTGATTTGGTCTGATCAAAGCTATTTTTTATCTCGTTTGGGCTGGAAAAGATACAGCAAGTTGATCAATATTAGAGAAGGGTCTGGCATAAGACCCTAGGCAGACAGTTAGGTCCTCAAGGTCTCATTGATTCATTTTTTATAACAGTACCAAGATTTAACAGTTCAAGCAAGCTGAAAAATGTCAGATTAATCCCCCAACTTACTTCTGCTAGTGACAGCACTATCGTACTACACCCCTTTTAATGTGCCTGTTACATACTGTTGCGGTCTTTCCCAACTCAGCCCCCTGACACCAGGAGCCACTTAGTCATCTAGTGCCCTGTGTGAAGCCCTGGTGTACACATCCCTGCAGGCTGGGCAGATGTGGCATGGGACCCCCAGGAGACCCATACCCTTCCAGAGCAGCAGCCAGGAGTCACCCAGGACAGCTCAGAGCAGTATACATCCACGTCTGCTCTTCAGCAAAATTCACCCTTTCTTGAGGTGTATCTTTGAGCTCAATTTCAAGCCAAATTCCTCCCTGAACTTGCCTGAAGCTTGAAGCCCTTCCTCATGGAAAAATATTGGCATGAGATGGAGCCACTGAATGCTGTCACCTGGATCCAGTTGCTGGGGGTCTGCAGCAGGGGTTTTAGCATGAGCAAGTCAGGAGATGGGTCTGTGAGGACAATGCATGAAGTAGAAATCCTGCCCTTTGCAATACTCTGGCAGCTGGCAAAGTGATCAAACTCACTATAAAGGCAGCAGTTTCACACAAAGCAGTGAGCGAGCTGAGGGTGCAGGGCACAGCTGATGCTCTGGGGACTGGGCTTTGGGTGCAGCAGGACACTGAGGCTGGCAGGGAAGAACAGGGGAGGTCTCATGCAGCAGCTCTGGCTGGTCAATTCGCTGGGAGAGCTCATAAGTGTTGTAATTGGGACTCTGCCATCACGCCATAAAAAATACACCAATAAAAAAACTGCTGAAAACTCCTGAATCCAGGCAAGCAAGCAGGAAAAAATTCCTGAAGCCCATTTTTGGACCAGCAGGGTGGGCACAAAAACAATTTTCCTTGTGGATTGCATTGCTAAGAGAATGGTTTATAAATACTGCTCAGGTCTCTAAGGGTTTGAGAATTAGTTACATGTTTAATACGCTCTCACTTCTCATCACCAGGGAGAAGAAAAAGAAGAGGACCTTGATCATCTTATTAGACTACATCCTTTGAGAAATCAGAAGGCCACA